GCCAGGGGTGAGGAGCAGATGCCCCAGGACCCCAACCTGGCATCCCCCAAACCCACATCTCACTGCTCCTTCCCCAGCCCTGCAGCAAGGTCTGTGCTGGCTGGGGAGGTCTCAGTTGCATTCTGCAACAGAGCTGTGCAGGGCACCACTGGCACCACCCTTGGCCTTGCCCCTGGCATCACCCACCCTGCCCATCCTGCTCACAGCTCAGCCCTCTCTGGGTTACTCCTGTGAGATTTTTGGGTGCAGGGGGTGTCCCTGGGCACTGGGGTACAGGGCTCTGGGGTTTGAGGTGAGCAGAGAAGGAGATCCCAGCGGTGCCAGCTCAGGATGGGCACACGCGGGGTCTCCACGTGTGGCCACCAAATGCCACCGAGGGGCCCCCAGCCCCATCCCAGTGCCAGGAGGGAAAGCAGAGGGGCTGCAGGCAGCACGTACCGTCTGCAGACAGTGCACAGGGCACCCAGGTAGACCAGGCCACCAAGCAGGGCCAGGGTAGCTCCAGTTGGCAGGAGCGGGGTCCCCACCGGCCCCTCGCCACCAGCTGCAGCCATGGGGGATCCGCTTCCAACACCACTGTGGGGCTGAGCTCTGGGGAGAGAGAACATGAGCTGGGGTGCAGCCAGGCACTGCCAGGTTCACCACAGCATGAAATGGTGCTCCATGACTTGAGAGGCCCCTCTGGAGGGCGACATGCACTGGGTGTCCCATTTTCTGGCCAGTGGTTGCCCTCCCCAGGGTGACCAGGACTCGTCCAGTGCCCCATCCAGTGTGGACACCCAGCAGCAGGTGCTCTGCCACCTCCTAGGAAAACTTTTGGTTCCTTTTGAAAATATCAACCCAGCAAACCCAGCGAGATTCAAGCTCCCAAGTTGCCACTGAGATGCTGAAAAGAAGATTGCCAGGGGCCCCAGAAAACCTCTGGAGTCACTCAAAAAGTGACAGGGTGCTTTCTGGGGACACCGGGACACCCCTGGGCTGTGGGATGGAGGTGACACCACTCCCGAGCATAGGGGAGGCCAGACAGGACAGGCAGATGATTCAGCTTCCCAGAAATGGAGAGAGCTTTGGCCTCATAGCCATCTCTCCCTCCTCTCTCTTGTCACACCACGAGACACCCTCTGACTGCAGCAGGTCTCACACAGACCCCACCTCTCCTCTGCCACTACAGCCCCAGGTCTGCAGCTGCTCTCTGCTGTGACATGGGAGCAGACAACGCCCAACCTTTCCACAACTTCCCTCTGCCTGAAGCCATGCTTTGCCCAAATCCAGCCCTTGTCCCTGCACCTTCCTCAAGGGAAGAGTCTTCCCCTGTAAACCGCAGCAGTGGCTGGGCCAGAGCAAGTGGTGCAGAGGCACGAAGGTGCTGGGAAGCCCGACACAAAGTGCAGATGCTCCCCAGCCTGTCAGGATCATTCCCGGGAGGCTCTTGGTGACCCCCGCCCCACCATCCCCGTCCCTGCTCAGCTGTCAGCACGCTGCAAACCCAAAGCAAAAGCTGACACCGCTTCACCTGCCCCAGCGTCGACGGCGGCTGCGGCTCCCGGCTCTGCAGAGCTCAGCTCTGTGCACCCTGCGCTCCAAAAAGGCTGGCCTGTGAAACGCCGAAAGGAGGCGGAGGCAGTTCCCAGCCCGGGAGTAAAGCCCGGCTCCAAGAAGCCACGGAAGCCGATCCAGACGGGGCCAGCAGGGTCCCCGGGCAGAGCTGAGCAGGACAGCTTCCACCAGCATGGCTGGGCATGCAGAAAGGCTGCAGGACACACCGAGCACCTCTTACTCACCCTCTTACATATCACCATCCAGATGACAAAGACCAGACGAGCTCTGATGAGAAGCCATCCTGCCTCATGTGAATCTCAGAAGCTACAGCAGCTCCACGGTGAGCGGGGCAGTCTGTGCCCACTGTCCCCACTGCCCTGACCTCTATGTCACACTGCAGCATCTTTGGAACATCTTTACCCTTATAACTGGCAGGTCTCTGCCCACTCACAGCACCCTTCTATCCGAGAGCACCCTTTTATCTGAGAACTTCCCATGCCTTTGGAAACTGCCCTGACTGAAGCCTGAACCCTGGAGACCAATTAGTTCAAGGTAGAAAGTGAGACAGAGAGTTTTTAGGGACTAACCAGGCTGGACAGACTGGCTTAGATCAGAGCTGGGAAGGGAAGGCTGTTCCCTCTCCAACGACGTTTTAATTAGACAACACAGCTTTTCTGTCTGAGCATACATTAATTACGTGGATTACCTGCAACAGGGGCTGTCGTGTTAGACAGAGCCTGGAGCTCCTCGCTGGACTCGCTCAGCTCATTAGAGTGATGGGATCACAGGCTGCAGGAGCGGCCGCGCTCAGGGCAGAGCCGAGCAGGCTCTGGGGTTCAGCAGACAAAGTTCTAACGAGGAACGACAGTCGGGAACTGGTGTGATGTCGGAATCGAGGTGGGAGCTTTCAGCATGCTGAGGCAGGCACACATGGGGCAGCTTATCCCACAGCGGGGGGATTTTCCATCCCTGAATTTTTAAGATTGAAGAAGGGACAGGCTTCCTGAGTGGAAATGAATACAGAGAAATTCTTCTGACCTACTCGGTTGTGCAGGTGGGTGGTTGCTCCTGGATTTCTGACCAGTGAAACTGTCTATTGCAGGCTCAGCAGTCACTGGGAAAAGCCACTTTGGACAACTCGTTGGGCCTCCCAAAACTACGTATTTGCGAGCAAAAGTCAGTGCCCGACTGAAGCCGCTCGGGTAGGACCGAGCAGGTTTGCAAGGCAAAGTCTCAACCAGACCTTCCAAAACCTACACCTGAATTTCCTGCCAATAAAGTTATCGATCTCCCAGTCCTGGGGCTGTTCCCTGGGGCAGGAGACTCAGCAGATGAGGTTTCACAATGTGCTGGCTCCGCAAGCCCGGATGGCTTTGAAGGCAAGGGCGGCCACGGCCGTTGCGTACGTGCGACACACACCCACGGCCCAGGAGGGATAACTCCCCTCTGTGACACCCCAGCACAGGCACCCTAAAGGGCAGATGGTTTGTTAACTCCAGGATGTGGGAGTTTTTTGTGACTCCTACAAAAAGCGCGAGTTCCTCAGCCGGGTTTCATGAAAACAAGATCAATTTCACTGCAAATCTCAGTGCTGCTGCTGATTCTGTTCGACCTCTGATTCATCTCCCCAGATAAAACCACACAGTTTTCAGTGCAGGGTGATGAGCAGAAGGTCTGTGAAGCTACTCAAAGCCTGTTTTTGCAAGAAACCAGGGGGAACATTCTGAGCTGATTTCAATCAGCGACTGTGCACACGGCTGCAGCAAACTCCTCTCGGGTACCCTGGGGAGTTGTGCTGCAAAAAAGGCCCAAGAAGCAGAAGTAGACGGGTTTTTTTCTTTTTAATTATGAAAAATGAAAGCCCTGTTACAGTTAGTCACAACACTGAATCTGCCCTAGACCGTGGGCTGCAATTAGTGATTTTTAAGACAATTTCTAACATGGAGCAGGCACGAGATCTCACCCACTTCACTGATCTCTGCAGCAGGAAGGAGGGATTTCATGGTCAAACATCTCTGGAGGCATTTAATTTAGAAAAGACCAACTATATTTCTAAATGCCAAACCCAAATGTCCCCAAACTTGGATGCACGCTTCCAGCTGCAGTTCTGATGGCTGCTCAAGTGCTGGAGTAGCGTTTGAGAAGATACAACTTTAAAACCTCCAGCTAAGTGATCACCCGCCCACACCGTGGGGCTTTTCTCCAGGCTGACACAGTTTCAGTGTGTTTCTTTCTTCCTGCCCTTCCCTGATTGCAAGACACTCACTCACTTGGGCAGAGAAATGCTCTTCTAAGGCAAAAACCTGCTGGAGAGATTTTCTGCAGAGCTGAGCTACAGGAGGACACCAGTGGAGAGCTCGGATCTGCTGTTATGGGAAGCCAGATTCCAAACTACAGGATGTATTAAGGTGATACGTGTCTTTTTGAGAACCACCTGCCTACCACAGTGGTTTTCTTGCCACACATTCTGTAGTTGTGAATAACCTCAGGTTTACAGAGGACAGTGTTTCAGCGACCACACTCTCAAGCCTCCTCACCCACAGCTCAACACAAGCAAAACTCCAGTCCCCCTTTCCACAACACAACTGGAAACTTTCCTATTGAAAAAAAAACCCCACAACGCCCCACACCTCCGAACTCAACTCATTCATCCCAAAAACAATCGGCTCCCACTCAGCCTCCAGCCACGACATCCCAGCAGCGCTGCCGACCGACCTCCAGCACCTTTTCTTCCCTTAAAGCCCAGCAGCAGAGCACAAAGCACGGAGTGGGACACATCCTCCAGGGGCAGCACACATCCTCCAGGAGCAGCACACAGCCTCCAGGAGCAGCACACAGCCTCCAGGAGTGGCACACAGCTTCCAGCCCAACTCGCAAGGTTTAACGCAGCTGGTGCTTCCCCAGAGCAGAGCAGGAATCCTGCCTGTCCAGTCTAGCCAGCTGCAACAGCACCTCCAACAATGCTGTGACTTCTATATACTCTCATAGGGTCTTAAAGTATTCCCCCCTCCCCATTTAGCTGCAGATTCCCGAGACTGGAAAGCCAACACCACTTACTTTGCAGGAACTCAGAGGACAGTGGAGCACAGGGATTCAGTCATGCTTTCCTCTTTGCCAGCCAGCCTGGAGAATTTAATTTCTTTTATCCCGCCGAGTTAATCCCAATTAGGGGTTCCTGCGCATTTCAAACACGCTGAGCTCTCCCACTCCCGAGCTCCGTGAGGAGCAGCCGGCTGTGAGCACACACGGAGCACACACACCACAGCTTCCTGGCCTCGGAGGTGGTGGCTTCACCCCAGGGTAGGCTGGGTCTGTGCTCGCAGGCTCCCGGCACACACCAGCACCCTCTGCCGCCCTCCGCTCCCCGCCCGGCCGGTCTGGGTGCTCAGGGGAATACAAGGAAAGAATGGGGTGCCCCAGATCATCGTTACCTTGCAAATGAGCAATGCCTTACAAGGAGAGAGGGGAAAATAAACACCAACTTTATTCATCAGGGATGTGGATGTGTTGGGTGGGAGGTGGCAGCCACTGGGAGTCTGACAAGGCAGGCTGTGGAAATCCCAAGGAAGGGCACAACGCCACTGAGCTGAGACATGGGGCTAATGCACCCAGTTCCTAAAAAGATGATGTTAAACAGTCTCAGAGCACAAAACAACCCCAAAAAATTTCTCTGCCCAGCTCAGCTCCCCAGTCACGGGCCACTTGAGCGAGCACCCATGCTAAGCTGGGCACATCAGCCCTTGTCACCACTCAACGCTCAAGTGTGGGAAACAAACAGTCACTTATGAGGGAAGGGCTCTGGCCAGCCATTGTTAAACCCTAGAACTGAGCCCCGTGCATGGAGAACACAAATTCAGAACAATGAGGACAGTACAGCCAATTCCATCAGGAACTGATGGATGCTGAAGTGCCCAAGGCAGCCCCTGCCAGTTCCACATCCACAGCATGATCCAGGTGCTCTTCAGGAGCAGAGACCCACTCCCACAGGTTTCCTGAAGATCTTGTTTGGTTTTGCTGTCTCGCTGTGTTTTCAGAGGTGTGTCTGCAGCAATGCGAAATCCCTCATGACTTGAACAGCTCTGATCGTATCTTCTCCAGCCTCAGATCTTCTGGTTAGTTTGGCAGCCTGGCCCTGCAAGCAGGCACAGCCCTGCCCAGGCTGACAGCTTTACAGGCTTCTTAGGCACAGATAAAAAAAAGGGGGTACTAAAGGAGCAAACCTTTTCATGAGAAAAGTGACTCACAGAATAAAAGGAAATCAGTTTCTTAAACTAAGAAAAAACTCTGTCCTTAAGATACTGGCATGAATTGCAATTTTTTTTTTTTTTTTTTTTAAAAAAAGCCTTTACAATGCACAAATCCCACCAGAAACAGTCTGATGAAACCACCATCTCCTCTGGGGCAAGGATTGGCTGCCAACAACGCAGAATGTAACAGAGGGGAGAGAACATCCTTCCTGTCCAAAGACTCTCCATGGTGCAGGGAAGGGCACTTGGCTTGCCTGGCCTGCTCCCAGCCCAGCCCCAAGCTCTCCCACTGGAGGGCTGCACGCTGGGCACACACAGATTCTGCTCTTTGTGCTCATCCGGGGCCCAGTCCAACCTGGACCTGGGTCCTGAGGTTTTTTAGGAAAAGAACCTGTGTTCAGTGAGCCACCTTGGACAGAAAAACCCAACTAATGGTGGCAAAAATCACAAGGCTCCCTGTGGAGTTGTTCCTAGGGTTTGGGAATCCCATTACACTGCTGGCTTATTCCCCCAGTGTTGGCACTCTACTTGTGGAACCACACAGCCTTCCATGCCAAGCCAAATGAGTTAGGCTACAGCATGTCCTGGGATACTCTTACAGGCAAACTGCTGAAATCTGATCCTTGAGGCTGCTAGTTCCCACCTCTGAGCTGCCAGTTTTCTGTCTATTCCTTACACTAAGGCTACAAAGAACTGCTCCCTCAAAAAATGGAGTCTTCAGATAAATCCCATAGTAAAAACCAGAAGGCAGAGAGCAGCTGAAGCACTGTGCCTTAGATGTTTTCTCCCAGCACAAGCCTTTTCTGCTTTGCCAGGCCGTGCTCGGGACTCTGCCTGCACCTGTGCTTGTCGGGGGGGCTGCAGACAGAAGCCACAGCTCATGGCAGGATGTGGGGCTGTCCAAGCCCCCTCAGCTGCTTTGCAGCCAGCAGTGTTATCACCTGAGCAGCCACAGACTCTGGATGGAGGTGCTACCGCAGGGAAAACTGAAGAAAAAAAGTGTGCAAGAGAGCAGAGAATCATATTTCGTGTAGCCAGTCCTCACCCAAGGCCCAGCTCAGGGAATGCTTTTGGGGCTGGACGGATGTGTACTCCCCCCCAGTCCCAGCAAAGCTCAGAAGCATCCAGAAACTGCTCCTTTTCCACCCAGTTTCAGGCTGGGCAGCCTGAGGCCCAGAGGAGCAGGATGGCTCACCCAGGCTCTGAAGCCAGGAGCACTAGAAGGACAATCCCTGCAGTCCAACGCCTTCCTCAGCACCTAGAACTCAGTCATCTTCTTGTGGGTGTCTGCCTTCTTCTGCTCCCGCTGCAGCCTGGCTTCCTGGGCCTGCAGTTGCCCCAGCTGCTTGTGAGCATTTGCCAGCTTCTCCTCCAGCTTGGCTGCAGCAATGCTGTGCCTGAAAGCAAAAAGCACGGTGGTAATGTCATCCTGCATAGCAACATCAAAGGCTTGTCCTCATCCCAGGAGGGTTTGCCCTTTCCTGTAGGATTAGCACAAGGGACCCGCTGAAGAACCCCATGCTTAGCACAATTTGGGCTAGAAAATGTCCTCCTGGGATGTTCAATAGCAATGTTGCAGTGGTGGGCACGAGAAAGGACTCCAACACCTTCCCTCAGAGAGCTCCTCTCTTTCCCACAGCCTGAATTCCAGCCAAAGGACCACAGACACATCTGCCAGTGCCCAGCATGGTCCGAAGCACACACCGAACTCTCTCCTCCATTTCCCCTTAGGTCTCATCCACATGTTTCACTTGTTCCTCCCACACCCCATTTCAAGCCCACCCCTTCCCAGAAGCACCAAGAACTCGGTCCCAAAGGGAATGTTTTCCTACCGCCCGGTGTTGCGTTCCAGGGCCTGCTGGATTCCCCTGATATCCCTCAGCGTTTGCTCGATCTTCTCTGCGGTCTGGAAGAGGTGGACACTCAGGGCTTTCCTGGTGCTCTTGCTGGCATGGTAGATCTCCTTGCTGTTCCTCTGGGGCAGTGCCATCCCTCCAGCCTTGTCCCCAGCGCTCTTCCCACGCAGCTTCTCGTTCAAAAAGTCAAACACGTTCCGTGGGGGCTTCCGGCCGCCAGACTGTCCGGAGCTGTTTCCCTTTGCTCGGCATTTCCTCGATTTGCCTGGGTCCAGCTTCCCCTGCTTCTTCTTCTGAAGCACCTCAGCACACTGGTCCAGGGACTTCCCTCGAGGAAGCACCACAGCCTGCACTGGCTCCACTCTGCCCTGAGAATTCTTCCCTAACCCTGAGGAGAGACACCAAGTGATTACGGCAAGTGAGGACATCCCCTCTCTGAGTCACCTCCCACCACAGGATCAGGTTGACAAAGTCACAAGCTTAGAACAAGCAAACAGGCTTTTGAGGTACCAAAAGTTGTAACTACTGTCCAAGCAAGGGGAGCAGCAGCAAAGGCCAGGCCTGGAGCCTTTCACAGCAGGAGATTTGTGATTCCAAGCCCGGGGCCATCTGCCAGGCTGGTTTCTGTGAAACCAGGTTCAGCCTCACATTCTCGGCTTCTCCAGCCAAGTTCTACTTAAACTGGTTTGGTTCCTCTGAGAGAACTGGAGACACACAGGGAGCAGGGCCACCCTCCCAGAGCCCCCAAGGCTCGATGCAATTTGGGTGGGGAGCAGCGAGTTCAGCAGGCTTTGAAGTCTGTGTCCAGAGCCAGATGTGTTAACACAGACATCAGAAGCTTTGCAGATCAGCTCCCTTCCACCTACAGGCTCTTGACGCTCACACAGCAGTTCTCACGGCTTTGATCATGAACTTGACCGAGGTTCCAAGTGCCTCCAATGTTTGCCATTACCATACAGGGCTTGGTGCCCCACATGCCTGTACTTCCATGAAATAAGTCATCCCTCTTCCCTCCAACACCTGTGATCTATCACATCGCTTGAGCCTCAGCTCTGGCTTCATCCAAAATCTTGTATTTTTCTTTAACCACCTCCTCCCCTTACCTTTTCCAAACTCATATCCCATCTGAACAAGCAGTTTGGAGCCAATGCCACGAGTATGGGCTTCCCAGCCACCGAAAGAGGAGCTGCATGCAGGAGTCCATTCCCCGTTCTCTGGAACTCCTGAATCTATCACTGTGGCACAGGAGAGAAAATCAGTGAAACACAGGAACAAAGCTGCTCTGCAAAACCCTCATGGGGGGCACTCACACAGCATGAAATCCCTTCATGGGGTAGTACAATTCACTTCTCCCATCCTAAAATCACTTGGCCATTCCTCCAGCCCTACTTAGTTCCTACTGAGTTGTCACCTTCCATGACCACTGCACAGGGAGTGACTGAACTGAGAGATCTCAATTTAATGCACATACCACCTCCCTGATCCAGGCACAGTCACCTAGGAGTTTTATGCTTCCTTTCCATCCATCCAGGTTGGTGATACACACATCAGAGTAAAATCTAGCACAGTGGCACATAACACTTATCCTGTGCCTCCAGCTCCTGCCTCCTGCCTCTGGTCCGAGGCTCCTCTAAGTCACAGCGTTAATTCTGTGTTATCAGGATCCAGAAACCTCTGTTAGGTTAAATGTTAAGAGCTCTAGGACATGACTCTGTCCCTGTGACACTGCTGTGCCTGTGTAACCTCCAAGAAGTCATTTGGAGGGACCCAACACTCAGTTACTGGGATCTCACACTCCTGGGTCACAAAGCTGCACAGAGACCCCAGGGATGAGGGAATCTCCTGATTCACTTATTAGCTCAACTGAGGCAGCCACACAAGAAACAGGCTCTGAGCTTGGAACTCTGAAACATCACACCCTTGTGGAAGTTCCCATGGAAACCTCCAGCCTTCATTAGCCCAGTGATTTGCATAAAGCAAAGATTTTAGTTGGCAGTTGTACCATAACAGCTAATTATTGTTCTCTACCTTTCAGGAACACATAAAGAGATTAACTGCTCTTTCATCAAAGGTGAGACACTCACAGTGAGAGCTCCAGGACAGTCATCCAGTCCCAGAGAAAGGCAGACCAAGATCACAAGAAGCTTTTGCTCATGCCCTCCTCTCTCTCTTACCTTTGGCATAACCAGAATCATCGACACTGTCCTCGTCAGACTCATCAGACTCGGCAGCATCTTCACTTCTCAGTGGGGGAATGACACTGTCCCCTTCCAGCACAGCCTCCTTGAGCAGCAGGGAGTCAAACTTCACTGTGTAGTAGCCACTGTCCACGTCTGCAGAAGCAACAGCAAGGACAGGAGCTCCAGTCAGTCCCCAGCACAGAGGGGGCTGAGCCAGACTGAGCTCCAGCAGAACGACACGGGAGCAGGGGAAGGCCCAAGGAACATGTTTTTAAAAATTCTGGGCATAAATTGTGTTTCTCACTTCTGTCTGGGAGGGAGAAGCACCCACTGCAATGAAAAGCCACTTCCACAATGACTGTGTTGATACCTGAAAGTTTATTTCTATAAATGAAGAGAGATGGGGTGTTGAGAAATGGAATTAAAGAGAAGTTAGACTTGCTCCCTTCTGAATTAATAATAGTTAAAAGAAAGATGGAAAGAGGGAATAAGCCCTCCCTCTTCCCAGGACACAGGGAAGCCTGAATGAGCAGCTGCAGGGCAGGGCCAGCTCCTCTGGTTTTTGTTTAAACAAGAGCAGATTATTGCAATTCTCACCTAATATGCATGCAAATTCCTGCAGGACCTGCCTCTTCCCTTTCAGAGCAGTTAATGACCTTGCACTAATCTCCTTTCCACATTCCTGCCCTTTATGTCTCCTTTTCGTCCTACACTCTCTTTCCCAAGTCTGACACCACTCAGACTGGTGTCTCAGCTCCATCAAGATTTTCAGTTCAGGGCTGCAGCCACACAGTTTAACATTTTTCTGTTGCCAACCACAACAGCCAAGTTTTATATCCAGGTAACCATCAGCCTCCACCCTCCCCCAAGAGCTGCAGGGCAGCCCCCTCGCCCCCCTCACCAGTGATTTTGGCCGTGTACCATATCCCATCACTGTGCTTTGCCAGGCAGGCTGAGCCCACCCCCAGCGAGCTCAGGTCGGGCTCCTGGAAAGGCTGGAGCTCCTCCACAGACACCACCTGGCCATGGGAAAACCTGCAGGGAAGGAGGAACAGGAATCTTTAAATAAAAACCCCTTCCCTCTCTAAAGGAAATGTCCCAGTGATGAACCTCCCTCGGGCACTGGGGAGGTTTGACCATGTGTTGTTGCAATTCCACAAGTTGTTCATGTTTCCCTTCAAACATGTCATTTATGCCGTGTAACAAAGCAAGCACCCCACCCTGGAGAATTAAACTTCCTTGCTAGTGACACATCCAGTAAAAAAGTTCATGTCCTTGGAGATCCTGAAGAGGATCAGAGACAGGCAGGGCTCCAGCTCATCCATCTTCACCATCCCCTCAGGCTTCTCCAGGCCATTCCTGGTGAGGATCCCCAAAAATGGAGCCTCTACAACCTCCCTGTGCAACTGGAATGTGTGCACTAACCACACACTTGGGTGTTTTATTTAAAATACTTATCACCTATTAATTTACCCACTCAATCATGCAGTATCTCTGCAGCTTTCCCATGGGATTTTCCATTTCAACTCTGCATCAGCTAAAAGAAAACAGCCCAACTGATGCCACTGCCCACCACAGCATGTTTTAAAAACATAAAGGCATAATTTCACTGGGTAAAAAGAGCAACACAGGGCACTTCAGGAGGAGATTCATCCCTCCCACCCCCCTGTCTTTACCGACAGTTCTCCTTAAATCTGCACTTGTCGTCCAGGAAGAACGGGCAGGGCTTCAGGGACTTGTGGGTCGGGTACAGGTAGAGCACCCTGACCCCTGCACTGCCATCCTCCAGCTCCTCTGTCCCCACAATCATGGCATTGTGGTACTCCAGGGTCCCCCAGGAGCTGTAGTAGGGGGCTTTAACCTTCATCCCACTTAGCTCCTCCTCCTCCTCCTCCTCCCTCTCTGACTCCTCCTCCTCTTCGCTGCACTTGGATTCGTTTTTATCACCAGTTTCTCCCCCTCTCTCCGAGGAGATCTCGCTGTTATTCCCTGGAGGCTCCTCGTCTGCTCCAAGTCCAGCAATGGCTTCCTTAAAAGCAGCGTATTCCTCATCCTGGGCAGAGCTCTCCAGGTTGGGATCCTGCCCCGGGAGACCTGCCGGGGAGGAGGAGGAGGCATCTGTGTCCAGAGCGGACAGGAGTTTGCTCTTTTTCACAGCCACCAGGCTGGACTCGGTCAGTTCTATCAGCTGCTTCAGATCCTCCTGCAGCTGCACCAGGTCCGAGTGCTGCGACGGGTCCTGGCCGGCCCCCAGCGCCAGCTCCACCTGCTCCAGCTGCGCATTGTAGGTCTGGATCGCCGCTTCCAGACTCTCCTCATCCATTATGGGCACAACAAAGGCGCCTTTACCCGCGGGAACTCACAACACATTCAGCATTCACTTAAGAACTCTCTAGATAACGAGTCTGCAGAAGGGACATCCACACGCCGTCCCGCTCCTTCCCTCGGAATTCGCCAGGGCGATGGTCCCACTGGAAACAGGAGATGGGAGCGCCCGAGGAGAGGCCGGGCCCGGCTCTGCCTTCCCCCGCCACGGCGCCGCTCCTCCCGCAGCCCAGGCGCTCCCCCGGCTCCCGGGGGCTGCAGCACCGCCCCGGCCGCCGCCGCCGCCCCGGTGGCCCCGCTCCGCCCTCAGCGGCGCCGAGCCCTGCAAGCCGCCGCCATGACACCCGCCACGGCACTCGCCACTTCCGGCTACGGTGCATCCACTTCCTCCAACACGTCACCTCGTCAGAGCTGGGGAGGGTGGTGTCGCTGTGCATTCTGGGAGTTGTAGTCCACTGAAACTTCCAGCGCCGGCCCAACAGAGGGGCCGGGACTACAATCCCCAGAGCTCCGCGCGCGGGATGGCGGCGGTCGGCGGTGCTGGGCAGTCGTGAGAGGCGGTGGCGGCGGCTCCGGTGCCGGTGCCGGGTGAGGAGCCTCGGGCTTCGGGTTCTGGGCTCTGAGCCCCGCCCGCCGCGCTTGGGGGCGGCAGCGGCCGCGACAGGGGTACGGCTGGGCTTGGGGCGGACCTGCCGGGCCGGGACCTGGCGCTGGGCCGTGAGGGGGAAATGGCGGTGAGGGCCCGTGTGCGCCTTCACCCCTGTCAGGCTGTGACAGGGAAGGAGGAGAGGGATCTCCTGGATATGAGGGGGATCTCCCGGGTCCCAGAGGAGCGGACCAGAGGTCGGGCACACACGGGTCACGTCGGGGACGGCAGGAGCTCCCCCCTCGCACAGCTGAAGGTGAAGGGTCCCGATCCCACCTGTGCGGACGAAGCCCCCCCGCCCTGAGGTGCCTTTATCATGAAACCCCCGATTCCTGCCCTGGAGCGCTTTTATTTCCCTCTAGGTGATGGTGTTTGACTTCAAAGTGATCGCTTAACCACGCACTTGCTCAGAGACAGCTGCCTCTCAGAGTCTCTGCCTTGAGGTTCCCTTTATCTGTGTTTGAACAGGGGAGTTGTTGCAATGGCATGTGAGTCAGCTGGAGCACTTGGTGCCAGTGCTTCCTGCAAAGCCTCTCTGCCTTGTGTGTGCAAATCCAGCCACTGAAAACACAACAAGTGTGGGCTTCTGCAGGTGCTGGTGTTGCTTTGATTCTCAGCTTTGTGGTTTTTTGCTGGGCAGCTCGTGTAGCTGGTCTGTGAGATGACAAAGCACTGTTTGGTGGGTGCTGCTACATAAGGCTGTTGCTGGATAAGGCTGAATTTAAGATAAGAAAAGGAATTATGTGCCTTTAGGATGCTCTGCACTCACTGCAGCCAATAGAGACCCCAGGGTGCTTTTGTAGGGATTGGGAACAAGGAGGGGAGACTGGCCTGTGCATTCTTTCTTAAAAATACCTGCTCTGTGTATTTGTATAAAGTTCACTTTGTTTTCTGTGGGTCTTACATTTACTGCAAGGGGTGTTCAAAGTCTTCCTCAGCTCCCCTTTGAGCAGACAAAGTTGTCAAGTGAGAGCTGAGTTTGCAGCAGGTGCTGGGCACTGTGTGCAGACACAGAGCTTCAGCCCTTTGGAAGATAATCCCTCCCTCGTGTGCATTTGAAAACTTAATCCTGAGCCATTTTCATGGTCTCTCTCGAATCTGTGATTTTTCCTGGGGTTGCCCAAATGTGAGAGTTCCTGATAAAAGAGCAATGTCATTTATTTGTCTGGGGTTGGGAAGAACTCACGCTGTGGAATGAGAGGCTTTTGGGAATGACCTGTTTGTTAATGAATTCCTGGCATTTTTTTGCAGGAGCAGGATGTATACACTGCTGTCAGGGCTCTATAAATACATGTTCCAGAGGGATGAGTACTGTGTCCTGATCCTGGGTTTGGACAATGCTGGTAAAACTGTAAGTGCTGTTTATCACCCTGTGGAGGGCACACACAGTCCTAAACAGCCTCCAGAGATAAATCTTCCATCACAGGTCAATCTTTCTTCAGCTGTATCATGAGTTATTTTAGTGCTGTCACACCAAACAATCAACTTTCCCCCAGTACTTAAATTTAGCACAAGCTTTCAGGGATGTGGCTGAGGCTTTGGTAATCCTATAATCACCTATGATCCCTTCTTTCCTTGCTAAAATATGGAGCAAGGAGAGTGGTTTGTCCAGAATTAGGTAGGACAGTATCTGTTCTAGCAGGATTGTGCAGAAATTAAAAGGCAGGTTTGGGGTAGGATTGTCTCAGCAAGTAAAATATTTGGCAGTAAATACTTTGTCTCATTCCTTTTCAGACCTTCCTTGAACAAACTAAAACCCGATTTAACAAGAACTACAAAGGGATGAGTTTGTCCAAAATCACAACCACTGTAGGCTTAAACAGTAAGTAAATCCATCTGGAATTTTTTCAGCTTTCCTGCACAGTTGGACAACAGCTGATTCTTGTTTGAAGTATTTAAGAATTGAAAAGGGCAGAATAGTTCCTGGAAGCAGAGGCTGTACCTCTCAACTGCCCAGGTCTTTTTGTAGAGAATAAAATAGGCTTTCTTAGCTTAGGAGTGTAAAAACCCCATGAATCCCGTTTCAGTGCTGTGCTCAAGCTAAATTTTACTGGAGTTCATTCTTTGGTCCAATTCTGGTGTTATTTACATGGTATGACTTTATATTTGTGGTCACTGTGCAGGTTTTGTTCTGTTGTTGCAAATAACCACTTCCTGTGATTTGTTCCCCTGCAAACCTATCCTGCCTCAGATTTCTCAGTGGGCTTTGCAGGTGTTTGTGCTTTACAACACCTCCAGTTTTCACTGGATTGTCTTTCCTTCTTTCCCTCTAGTTGGTACTATTGATGTTGGCAAAACTCGGCTGATGTTCTGGGATCTTGGCGGGCAGGAGGAACTCCAGTCACTTTGGGACAAGGTTAGAGATGTGGGTTTATTTTATTTTAATTTATTTTATTTATGCAACTTGTCCAGAGAAGCTGTGGCTGCCCCATCCCTGGAAGTGTTCAAGGTCAGGTTGGAAAGGGTTGGGAGCAACCTGGTCTAGTGGAAGGTGTCCTTGCCCCTGGCAGAGGTTGGAACTGGATGAGTTTTAATGTCCCTTCCAACCCAAACCATTCTGTGGTTTATTTTAGACATGGGTTTGTCTGTTTTAGAACTGAACCAGTACTATCATTTGGTAATCACACAGACTTATTTGTAACCCCAGTATTTAGCATCAACACTTTTTCAGAGATTCAACTATATCTGTGCAAGATGAGCCAAGATAATACTTAATACTTGCATTATTGTTACAAAGGCAATTACCAACCCATATCTGGGGCTTGTGCCATAGAGATAAGCTTTGGGGGGACACAGGTGAGCTTCCTCACCTGGTATATTGAGCAAACAGAACAGGCAGCACATTCTGTTTGCCTCCCTTCTCTCCCAGAGACACACCATGGAAACAGCTGGCCCTAACTGGCTGATCTCTTCCGTGTGTACCAAAATTTTACCAAATTAAAATAAAATCAGGAAGAGGAACAAATGGTCGCAGTGGATCGACACCAAGCTCTGTGTTCTCCTTGCAGTACTACGCTGAGTCTCACGGGGTGATCTATGTTATTGACTCCACGGATGAGGAGAGGCTCTCAGAGTCTAAAAGAGCTTTTGGTGAGTACAGTGTGAAGAAAATTGACCCAAAAGGTTGTATCAAATGAAATTGTAATGCAAGAAGGAGCCTCTGGCTTCATCCCTCTGTCCAGACAGTCTGTGCCATGTGTCTGTACAACTTCAGAACTGGCTAAACCTCTGGTGTTATTTCTGTGCTTTGTAGAGAAGATGATTACCAGTGAAGCTCTGGAAGGGGTTCCCATTCTGGTGTTGGCCAACAAGCAGGATGTAGAGGTAAGATTCTTGCAGATTTTCGTAAATGAGCAAATAAACCTTGGAAAGGTGAGCTCTGCATTCATATTAAATTTGTTCTGCATTCCCGGGCTGATCCTATGGGATTTTGCTGCCATGGGAAATACTTGCTTTGAATTTAGTTGTTTGTTTTTTTCCAGTGGCATAAATGAGCTTCCTACAGGCACATAGCTGTGAACTCTTTATGTAAACAGAACAAACTGCATTGCTATGGTTGGTCTTTCTCATGCCGTGACTGGGTGTATTGATACTGGTTTTTCCTGTTTATTCAGAAAAAAAAATAAAAATGTTTAGTGCACTTTGTTTATGCTGCTCTTTTAAAACCCAGGAACAGCACAACAAATGCATGTGAAGCATTATCATCCTTCTCCCACAGCTTGATAAGATCTGTACAATGAAACATTTGTTTGTCCTAAGGCATTCCATCTATGTCAGCAGGGAATGACGAGGAATGCTCTTTTCTGGTAACATAATTTAAATTCTTTCCAGCATATCCAAAACTGCAAAGGTCTTGGTTTGGATTTGCAATATGATTTAAATTATTTCCAGCATATCCAGAACTGCAAAGGTCATGGTTTGGATTTGCCAGGTTCGTGGGCGGTACAGTTTTTAGGTGACACATCCAGGGCCATCCTCCTCTCCTCCGGAATGGAAAAAAGGGAAGAGAGTGCCTGAAGTGGTCATGGTGTTTTACGTGTGTTCCTCCTGCTTCCCTCTGCGTTGTACCTGGAATTCCATGACTGCAGCTCCAGTGATTCATCTCTAGATGGAGCCAGAGGCTTCCAGTAGGATTTGGAGCACCAGCCCTGGCAGTTGGGATCAGTGTCGGTTCCAAAGTATGCAAATACTTCTCACCTTCTTCCCCTGGACTTTACACTTGTCCAAGTGATTGCACTTGTGGGAAGTACTTGAGACTTCCACAGAAATCACTTTGGCTTTACAGGAGGATTTGGTTACACTTCACATGTACAACACAACAGATTGAGTTTTGGATGATCATGAGATTGTCTAAGGGATTATCTAGTGATGGAATTAAGAGAAATGTTGTTCCATGTAAAACACAGCATGAGGTCGAGACAGAACTCCTGACTTGTGGTCCTGACTTCGCTGTGGTCTCTGGGATGTGGGATAATTGTCTTTTCTGTGTGGAAACCAGAATATTAACTCTCATATTTCCATGCAACACCAGAGCTGTGCTGCAGGGAGCAGCCTGCGCTCTTGCCTTTAGAGCTGGAAAGCTGTTCCCATTTTCCTCTTGGCTGTATATGCATGTT